AGTTCCTGTAAAATAGTCTAATAGGGGGTACAGGTGTTGTGTTATTTGTCTCTTCAGAGGTTGCATGGCGTTTCACCTTCCTTCTTATGATGTCTTCAACGAAACCATTGGAGAAGCCGTTGTTGACTAGGACCTGCCTTACTGTACAGAGTTCTTCACCTTACCCTACAGAGTTCTTCACCTTACCCTACAGAGTTCTTCATTGACTTTGCTTCCATCCTGAGCTGTGGCTGAGAGCACAGTCGACATAAGCGTTAACAACACTCCTCTTGTACCTGTCTGGGCAGTCACTGTTGGCATTTAGGCACATTCTTATGTTTGTTTCCTTAGTGTAGACTGCAGTGTGGAAACCTCCGCTCATTTCCATGACTGTTACATCTAGAAAGGGCAGCTTCCCATCCTTCTCCGTCTCGTAAGCGAAACGCAACTCACAATTCTGCTCAAATGCCTCCTTCAGCTCCTGCAGATGTCTGACATCAGGTACCTGTGTAAAAATGTCGTCACCATACCTGCAGTATATGGCCGGTTTCAAGTTCATGTCGACTAATACCTTTTGCTTGATGGTACCCATGTAGAAGTTCGCAAACAAGACACCTAGGGAAGAACCCATGGCGACCCCATCTACTTGCTTATACATGTGCCCATCCGGGCTCAAGAAGGGTGCCTCTTTAGTACAAGCTTGGAGTAGTTTCCTTAGAATGTTTTCTGGTATGTCAAGAGGAGTACAGGCCGGATCACGATACACTCTGTCCGCTATCATCCCGATTGTTTCATCTACAGGTACGTTGGTAAACAATGATTCTACGTCCAAGGAGGCTCTTATCCCTGTGGCCCGTGTTCTTCGCAGTAAGTCAACAAATTCCTTTGGCGACTTCAGGCTGAAGGTCTAAGGGTCATAAGGAGTCAGCAAGCCGTTGAGTCGCTTCACCAGTCTGTACGTAGGTGTGGGTATCTGGCTGATGATTGGCCGAAGTGGGTTTTCAGGCTTGTGTGTCTTGACATTTCCATACGCGTATCCAGGTTTATATTCCCGAATATTCTTTGGCAGGTGGAGTCCGGATTTCTTGGCGTTCACAGTTTCAATCAATTTGTTGACCTTTGCTTTCAATTCGACTATAGTGTCCTTCGTTACCCTATGGAATTTAGTTTGGTCAGAGAGTATGAGGCTCATTTTCGCCAGATATTCGTCTTTTTTAAGAATGACATATATTGGCAACTTGTCACCTCTCCTGACAACTATCTCCTTGTTCTCACGAAGGCTCTTAGCTGCCGCTTTGAGCTCGGGGGACAGTATGGTGATTCTGTAGTTGCCTCGATTCTTTCCTCCTTCTGCGATAAGTTCTGCTTGTAAGGTATCTTTGGTAGTGACCTTCTTTTGTGTCTCGAGGTCGAATATGTCGTCCAACAGGATTTCCATCTCCACTTTCCGGTTTTATCCAACAATCCACTTTGTTGATTTTCCAACAAAAATCAGAAGATACAATTGACCATTTACTATAAAATCAAGAAAACTGCCAACATACTCATGAGAAACTCTCCAGACACAAAGCAGAACGCTTTGAAAGCGACCAATGTCGTCTATGCCTTCAAATGCCCACTTGGGGACTGTAAGTTTCAAAGAACTCAGTATATAGGCAAGACAACAACATCTCTTTCCAGGCGATTAACGATGCATAAGCAACAGGGCTCCAATAAGGAACATATAATCTCTTCCCACAACCAGACCATCACCACAGAAGTTTCAACAAAAAACACGGAAATCATCGATAGATACAGCGATAGCAGGCGGCTTGATATCTGCGAGGCACTACACATTAAGAAGTCAACACCAGTAATCAACAGCCAATTAATGCACAACTATATTCTACCTACTTCAAGACTCCACACCAATATAGAAGCATCAAGAAATATGGGCCAATAGGCCCTTTGCATTTACTTCTATTCTTTCCCTTTAACTTTACCCAATATTACCCAATATTTCGTGTTCTGTCTTGTGTTGAAAGTTTGTTTTCACCTCATCCAAAACTGTTGTAACATATCACCTCACCCAAATGCAGGTATATAAAATGAAAAGCCGTTTGAATTATAGCATAGTAAGAAATCTGTTTAGTGTTTGCAGGTTATAGTTGTGTGTGTGTAAACTAAAGTCTTTGAAAATGTAATAAGTTATTACGAAACGCGTTCAAGTGTCGCGTCAGACTAGAAATAAAAATGAATCTGACCTGTTTAACGTAATTTGGTGGATTTGTGGTGAAGAGTAACGCCACAGGCGTGTGTGACAGCTTTGTAGAGTAACATAAATTTATGGGAGTAATTATCGATACGTGGGTTCGCTAATCACTTGGCCAAGTTGACCTGGAGTGTGTTATCTCCCTAGTGCTCCGCATTAGTGTTTAATAGCTGAGAACTACAGGTGAGGTCAGCGGGTATGATATATATAATTATAGTGTCACTAAGCCTAGTGTGTTATTACTGTGGTTGCAGTAATTGTCATTGCAAGTGAGTTTCAATTGTTGGGACGTGTTCTAATTAAGTGTTATTAGAGCACCGTGGGTGTTATTGCTGTAGCTCAGTAAATTGTTGGGCCGTGTTCTAATGGTTTAGAACACCGTGGGCGTTATTTACTGGTGTTCTGGAGTAACTCTAAAATGCAACGGGTTGTAATTGTTTAAGATCATCGAGTGTTGATTTATTGTGTCGTGGGTGAACTCGTCATTGGAACGAGTACTTGGTGTTATTATTCTGTATATTGGGTTGTCATCAAAGTCCAGTTTTCAGTGAGGGTTAATTCATCAAAGGTAATTAACGTAACGCCACCAAGGGAACACCCATTGCTTATACAGGAATTGTTTATAAGACAGTTTGAGTTAAAGTAAGATACGTTTGGGTTAATTACTTTCCAGGGAACAACTGGTGTGGTAGTTCAAGGGACTGGCACCAAAGCAGCCACTTCAGGCGAAGTCAGACAGTTTTGCAGGAATTCTGGGAGGGCTGAAGCCTTGCATTTAAGTCTGTTGCAAATTATTTGTCAGATGGACCGGTAATTCAAGATTCATGGAAGACAAGGTAGTTAACGCCGATTTATTGTTGCATTAACGTAACATTAGTTATTATTAGTCAGTTGGACAGGTAATTTGATTGACTCTTGGGAGAGTAAAGTCATTGTTAAGTAACATTGATGTGGGGATTAGTTATCGATCCGTGGGAGAGTGATCTAGTCACTTGAGTTCATTGGGAGTACGTAGGACTACCAGAGGGAATTCACTTTGTTGATATTATAACTGTTGAGCCAGTGTGAAGGGTGACGTATTTGTGTATAATTAATAATTGATATTCGAGATAGTTATTAATTGCTCAAGGTAGTCAAAAGGTGATTGCCGTCCTCTTAGCACTTTGGACATAGAATTGTAGTAAACTGTCGAGTGGCCGATAGTAGTCGATATAACTCGCGCTGGGATTAATTAGCTGTCTGTAGTACAAGGATTAATGGGGATTACTTACTCGACGGGTCAAGTGTTTGTGTAATTCTGAGTTACGAGTGACAGTTGTACATTTTGACTTCTCTGTGGGAGACAAGATTAAGTTAACGTAAGTGTTACTATTAATATTAACGTAATCAATTAGTTATTGATTGTTGATCGTCCAAGGGACGAAGTGTTAACGTACAAATTTAATTAAGGAGGGTTGCTGGAGTTGCCAGTAACCCCATTAGTCATTTTTATTGTCATTGTAGACTACTGGATTGATTGCATTTGCAACTGCTATTGCAGGGAAGAGCTGCAAGGAGCATAAGTAACTGATAGGAGGTTACAGGAGACTTGTCTCCTAACCTACCTTGTTATTGCTGCATTAGTGATTATAAACTTAGTATGTTTTGCTTGATTGCATCCTCTGTGAACACTCAGTAAGTTCAGGTTAGTTCATTCATGCAGCACAACGCGATTGCAGGTAGGATCCTGTAGTTTTACTTGTGGCTGGAGTCTAGCTTTCGTAAAGGTGTCACAGGAAGGATTTCCAGTAACGTCAGTGATATTTTTCGTTGTAGTAGTAGTTAGTGCTTTGTTGAATAAACTGTGTCGTTAAGTTGAACACTGTCTTTACTTACACACCACACTATTATTGATTTACATATGTTCTGCCATGTTTCCTGAAATTATTATCGCTATTCATCTGAGACCGTTTCTCGAGCTTCGAGCTGAATTCATAGCACCACACAACCAATAATGTATTGTGAGACTCCGTGATCTACTCGTTAGATTCCCTCCAGTGATATGCGAAGGTCGACGGTCTGGTGATAGGAATTTCCAGTTTTTGAGGTCTTGGCATTTGCTCGCGCTTAACCATTTTTTTCTATGGTCTCTGGAGTACAGAATGAGCTGCTTACTACACTTAGCGTGTTAGCTAAGCAGTCCCTTCCTCAGGAGGCCCATCTGGGTTTCAGTTTAAAGATGACGGATGAAATACTAGAATATTATGATGGAAAATCTCACAACTTTCGCACCGATTAAGACCGATAAAAAGTTGTAAGTCTTTACTCTTTAGAGCGCAGCCGAAAGAGATACATAATAATCTACACATGGAAAATATTTGAGGGGCTGGTTCCAAACCAGAACACGTAGATTACATCATATATAACCAGTAGGCATGGCCAGATGTGCAAAATAACCCTACTAAAAAATCAAGGTGCAATAGGTACGCTGAAGGAGAACTCTCTACATCAACTAAACTTTTAATCCCTCTTTTACTACACTTAAGTGACATAACTGGCCGGTCTCTCACAGTGTTCAAGTGAGAACGTGACAATCACATCCAAAGAATTCCTGATCAACAAAGTTGTTATTCACACGTCAGGCTGCTTGAACAGCCTGGATGACCAAACGACCAACCGGGAGGCCTGGTCGGAAACCGGACCACGGGGCCATTGATTCCCGGAACCTCCACCAGTAGGTAACCCCTAAATAAGCACAACAACAATTGTTATTAAGAACAATTTTACATACCTGATGCATTCCCAGATCATAAAGAGAAAAGTTGAGAACAGAGAGCCAGCTAACAGGAACTGAGGCGCAGACGCTGTATGCAATTGTTATCAGCAATGCATTTCCATTTCTGAAAATATGAAGATTTTAAGATGGAAAACGATCACAGTGTCACAACTCAAACTAATTGAAAACAAATTATAACTGAAACTTAGACTTCCTTTGGGTGTATTTTGGTAACAAGACAATTTCAAATTTCTTCGTATAATTTATAGACGTATCATAGTTATTTCACAACCTGAACTTTATATATACATATATATATATATTATATATATATATCTATATATATATATATATATATATATTATATATATATATCTATATATATATATATATATATATCTATATATATATATTTCGTACCTAGTAGCCAGAACTCACTTCTCAGCCTACAATGCAAGGCCCGATTTGCCTAATAAGCCAAGTTTTCATGAATTATATATTTTCAAGAATTTTTTTCTTATGAAATGATAAAGCTACCCATTTCATTATGTAAGAAGTCATTTTATTTTATTTGAGTTAAAATTAACGTAGATATATGACCGAACCTAACCAACCTACCTAACCTAACCTAACCTATCTTTATAGTTAGGATAGGTTAGGTGGTGGAAAAAGTTAGGTTAGGTTAGGTTAGGTAGGTTAGGTAGTCGAAAAACAATTAATTCATGAAAACTTGGCTTATTAGGCAAATTGGGCCTTGCATAGTAGGCTGAGAAGTGAGTTCTGGCTACTAGGTACGACATAGATATGTATATGTATATGTCGTACCTAGTAGCTAGAACACACTTCTCAGCTTACTATGCAAGGCCCAATTTGCCTAATAAGCCAGGTTTTCATGAATTAATGTATTTTTCTCTAATTTTTTTCTTATGAAATGATAAAGCTACCCATTTTATTATATATGAGGTCATTTTTTTTTATTGGAGTTAAAATTAACGTAGATATATGACCGAACCTAACCAACCCTACCTAACCTAACCTAACCTTTCTTTATAGGTTAGGTTAGGTTAGGTAGCCGAAACCTAACCTAACCTATCTTTATAGGTTAGGTTAGGTTAGGTAGCCGAAAAAGTTAGGTTAGGTAGGGTAGGTAGTCGAAAAACAAATAATTCATGAAAACTTGGCTTATTAGGCAAATCGGGCCTTACATAGTAGGCCGAGAGGTGCGTGCTGGCTACTAAGTACGACATATATATATATTTATATATATATAAATATATATATATGTATATATATATATGTATATATATATATATATATATATATATATATATATATATATATATATATATATATATATATATATATATATATATATATATATATATGTCGTACCTATTAGCCAGAACTCACTTCTCAGCCTACTATGCAAGGCCCGATTTGCCTAATAAGCCAAGGTTTCCTGAACTAATATATTTTCTCTAATTTTTTTCTTATGAAATGATAAACCTACCCATTTCATTTTGTATGAGGTCAATTTTTTTTTACTGGAGTTAAAATTAACGTAGATATATGACCGAACCTAACCTAACCTATCTTTGTAGGTTAGGTTAAGTTAGGTAGCCGAAAAAGTTAGGTTTGGTAGGTTAGGTAGTCGAAAAACAATTAATTCATGAAAACTTGACTTATTAGGCAAATCAGGCCTTGCATAGTAGGCTGAGAAGTGAGTTCTGGCTAGTAGGTACGACATATATATATATATATATATATATATATATATATATATATATATATATATATATATATATATATATATATATATATATATATATATATATATATATATATATATATATATATATATATATTATATATATATATATATAATATATATATATTAATATATATATATATATATAAATATATATATATATATATATATATATATATATATATATATATATATATATATATATATATATATATATATATATATATATATATATATATATATATATATATATATATATATATATATATATATATATATATATATATATATAACATATATATATACATATTGTGACGATAATCTCTTTCAAGAGAGATTGAACCTGCTCTTCCCTACATAAAGTTACTTACACATATACAAGAATAAGATGCTACCTTCAAGATACGTCTACCAGAGCTCAAAACGTTTTGACCAGGAGGCAAAACGTACCCTAAACCCTCACTCCACACTCCCTCCATGCCGGCTCGCCCATCGTCAACCAGCAAACTACCATTCCAGCCTGCCTGCTTCTGATTGGTGACCCACCGTCTGCACACCTGCACCTCTGCACCTCAGAGCCCTCAACCTAATTTGATGTCTGGGCTTGAACCAGCCATTGAAGTCAGAATATCCTTGTGCTCTCAAGCTATGAACAACCAACTGATACACGTCCTATTTATTGGTGGAGGTTCCCAGCTAGCGCTATATTCTCAGCACCTGTTTATGTCATTTTGTCTTTATATTATTTCTAGTGTAATTTATCCCTGTTCTTAATTTTTATGACTTGTTTGTTTGCACTGTACATAACCAAGGGATTGCCTTTATTTTTAAATTTGCTTTCCAGTTAATTAATGTTTCATTGTTCATACTATGTGTTTTGCATGTCTTCCCCTACTCTACCACAGACAACAGCCAAGCAGTCTCTTTTTTTTGTAAATGTGACAGGCATTGACACCAGCCATAAGGAGGACTACCGAACATCTACACTCCTACACATTCCCATCACATTTAATGGGGGCCTGTCCGGGAGCCTCACTCAGGTACTAGTACTAGAACATCAATTTATTGTAAGTGTACTTGGCTTTGATACAGTTGCTTTTCAATATTTTCATTACTTTTAATATTTATATGTGCTGTGTGTATTGTGCATTCCGAGAGTAGCATATTGTGAGTGTTGGATAACTTTGGATTACGTGGTGCCCGTAGGCCACAGTCGTTCTCTTAATTAGTCATCCCTCTCTCCGTGTTATTACTCATGTTTTCCACCTTTTGTCCCTAGGATATTTCTCAATCTCAGACAGATAATCATTTTGGTACTTTGGTTTGTCTTCGGGTCAAAGCACCCTATCTTCTGCAATCCGACCGAAGGAGGATACAGAGGGCCATAGTTCCTCTAGCATGGACTACGTTGCTGAGTTGGGTCCTCAGCAGCAGTTCTCGTCACCAGTTGACACTCGCACCCCTACATGTCGGTCAGAGATGATGATATTTACTTAGGTAGGGAATTAGCTGTATTTTTTTCAGAGCACAAAGACCACTAATTCTTGAGGTTATCTTGAGATGATTTCGGGGCTTTAGTGTCCCCGCGGCCAAGTCCTCGACCAGGCTTCCACCCCCAGGGAGCAGCCCGTGACAGCTGACTAACACCCAGGTACCTATTTTACTGCTAGGTAACAGGGGCATAGGGCGAAAGAAACTCTGCCCATTGTTTCTCGCCAGCGCCTGGGATAGAACCCAGGACCACAGGATCACAAGTCCAGCGTGCTGTCCACTTGGCCGACCGGCTCTATAATTCTGTATGTATCATATTTCATTTAGTGGGAAAACCCTTGCTTATGTCCTATAGAGACTCGGCAAGGTATGCCTACATTCTTGGACTACCTTATTCACTTTTGAAACAATTAAATGTTTCATTTGTTTTAGAAACTCAGTCTCATTTATTTAGTAGGATTTTCTTGCCCTTATTCTCTTACATTGAGTACCGGTACAAGATTTCCTGCGATTTTGATTGACTAATAATTTACCATTCTAAGATTAACGTTAATTCCACAGGATAGTTACCAGTTGCCACGTCATCCTGTTACTGACACTTACCATATCACAAATATATTCGTTGTACATTTATTTGCTATTTTTCACCACGTTTCGTCTCCAAGCTTTTTGTAATGATCCAGCAGGTGAAATAGGGAACTTAAGTCGTGCCAAGAAGAACGAATTACAAACTCTTGCACACGAGTATCAACTAGATGTTCCCCATGGAGCCAACAAAAATGACATGCATAATTTAATATTGGATCACCTCTTAGATGAAGAGAAGATTGACTCTGAAACTCACGAAAATTATTCTATTGCAGATAGACATGCTCTGGCAACTATGAAGTTGAAGCTCGAACTTGCAAAACTCGAGCGGGAACAAAGGAAGGAAGAGGCTGCTCTAAGGAAAGAACAATAAGAAAGAGAGGCTGCCATAAAGAAAGAGGCTGCCATGAGGAAAGAAGAAAGGTAACGTGAGGCCACCCTACTCCGTGAGCGGGAGCGAGAGCAGCTTGAAGCATGAAAACGTGACCAGGAGATACAACGTGAGCACAGTAAACAGCTAGCTGATAGTGCGCTCGAATATCGTCGACAAGAACTCGCTTTGGAAACTACACACCACACTCAGCGTCAGCTAGTCTTCCCGTAAGTTTCAATATCTCCCATGCAAGTAAGTTAATGCCACCATTCGTTGAGACAGAGATCGATGTATTTTTCACCACTTTTGAGACCTTAGCTAAAAAAACTTAGCTGGCCTGCAGATCAATGGTCTACCCTTCTCAGAGTGCATCTCACAGGTAGAGCTGCAATTACACTCAGTACCTTATCGTCTGAGAATGACTACCAGACCCTGAAGCAAGCAGTTTTGGACGACTACCTTCTCTCCACCGAAAGCTACAGACGAAAATTCCGTGATTATATAAAGGCAAGTACCACCACCTTTCTAGAATTTGCCAATACAAAGAAAAGATATTTCATGAAATGGCTGGAAGCAGCTCATGTCACTACATTTTCAGAACTCGTCAACCTCATGCTAGTTGAGGAATTCTTGAGACGTGTTCCCCCTTCCGTCCGTTTATATTTAGCAGATAAAGAAGAAACCGACTACATCAGATGTGCAAAGTCGGCTGACACCTACAGCCTCATCCACCGGCTTACACCACAACAACCTTCCAGCAAGAAGTCTTGGTATAGTTATGATAAAGTGAGTGCCGATCAAGCGAGCTCTCAATTGTATTGTAAGTATTGCAAACTCTATGGACATACCATAGATAAATGTGGGAAGGCTCAATACAAAGGCAATGAAACTACGAAACCCAAAC